TATAAGAGAGGAATCAGTGTGAGAAAGTTCAGCGTGAGATCTTCTGAAAGGGGAGAAGGTATTTACTTACAAAATCTTTAAGCAAGTTGGCTTTATGCACTCGCACTCATTCTCCTCTAAATTTAATTCTCTGACACTGGTATATTCATGAGGACCGAAACAGTGGCCTGGCCAGGATCACTTGAGTTTGACACAAGGGAACAGGGATGCCTGCTGCCAAGGCCTCACTACAGGCCCTTGACTAGGGACAACAAACTGGTTTCTGGACAGAACTTGCATTCCCCTTACGAGGCACCAGGTGGTATATGGTCATCTTTCACTTCAGAATCCTGTTTACTTTGTTCTCCATAAATGATAGGCCAGGTTGCTGCCCATTGCCTGTTTTATCTTGTTTTCAACACGTAGTTTCTGGACAGGCTGACAGGAAAAGCAAGGCGTATCTGATGCTGCAGCCTTGTTACCATCCTGCTGGGGTCAGGATGATAGTTCTTTTGCTGACACGTCATCTGTTTTTGAAGTGCAGTCTTTGGCCTTGACATAAACAGAACAATTCCTTATTTTTTCTGCTGGGAACAGTCTTCTGTGTTAACAAGAGTCCATCCTTTTAACCCTCTGTTCTGCTGTTTCTGCTGATGCTTTCATGAACTTCTATATACACTTCATTTATACCAGCCATATATTTGCTGTTACAGATCTCTACACCTGCCTTGGACATTCCTGATGCCCTTTTATTAGAATTCATAATCTCTCTAAAATATATAATTTAATGCCCCATGGAGTCTTTGACAGGACACAGGTGAATGCTCTGTTGAAATGTAAATGAAGCTTGTAAATGTTAATATATATCATACTCAGTGAAAGAAACTCTAAAATTCTGGGGGGACACACACAACATGCCCCATGTCTGCTGAAGCACAGATTTCTTGAAATGCTGAAATATGTGTGAAATTAACTAAAACACTGGGGTGGCCAATATAAACAGCTTGAAAAATAACAAAATTATGCCTGCCAAAATAGTAAATGGAAAACTGATAGTCTGTATTTCCCATGACATGTGCTGGAGGATTTGAACACAGCACTCTCACTGATGTCATGAAGTTAATGCTCTAAATTTATGGTTAGTAGGAGAAAACCAAACAATTCCTGGTTTAGTATCTTTTCACTTGTGCCCAGCAATGTGATAGGTTACCACGGACAGGAGGCAGTACTTTACCCTAAATCTTGAAGCTGAGGTTCCAGCTGCAGCTGAGGTTTGCTCTATGTGTCTATACATGTGTCCTCAATGATGGTGTTGGTATTGATATCCAAGCTGGCTCATTTTCAATTAATTCTGATAAACCTACAGTTCTATACTGAATATGTTTATATATATATAATGCATGTCTATACACATGTACACAGAGTCACAGCATGGCCTGGGTTGAAAGAGACCTTAAAGATGATCTCATTCCATGAGGAGGGACACTTTTCACTAGACCAGGTTGCTCAGAGCTCCACCCAGCCTGGCCTTGAACACTTCCCGGGACTGGGCACCCACAGCTTCCCTGGGCAACTTGTTCCAGTGCCTCACCACCCCTCACAGTAAAGAATTTTTTCCTAATATCTAAGCTAAATCTACTCCTTCAGTTTGAATCCATCCCCCTTTGTCCTGCCACTACATGCCCTTGTAAATAGTCTCTCTCCATTTTTCTTGCAGGCTCCCTTCAGGTACTGGAAAGCCTCGATTAGGTCAACCCAAAGCCTTCTCTTCTTCAGGCTGAACAAACCCAATTCTCTCAGCCTTTTCTCATAGGAGAGGTGCTCCATCCCTCCAGTCATCTTGGTGGCCTCCTGCGAATTCACTCCAACAGGCTGATGTCCTCCCTGTGCTGAGGAACTCGGAGCAGGACTCAGTGCACGTATGTGTGTGAGCTGCAGGTTTTTCAGAATTAAGACAAGCTAATTTGGATACCAGTAGCATTCATGGGGCAAGCAAATCTTCCCTGTCACTTATAAACCAGTTTCTTCATGACAGGGACACTGGAACTTGCCAGGTAGCTGGTGAAGAATGTTTGTGCCCTAGTGTTTTTTCAGTCTTCAGAAGTGCTGGTTACTCTGTGAATGCCGAAGGCTTTCTCTGTCAACTGGGCCTTATTGCCCTACTGAGAAAGAAGAACATGACCTTCTCAGAAAACTGATTAGGACTCCTATGTTACAGTAAGATGCCCATAAAATGATAATAATAATAATAATAATAATAATAATAATAATAATAATAATAATAATAATAATAATAATAATTTTATTCAGTGCACTAGAAGGGAAACAAACAGTAGTTTAGAAAATGCATTGTAACCACCAGTTCATTACACAGCAAACATGGCAAGTACTGAATTTACTAGAAAAGCATCCAACAACCAGAGAAGCAGAAAGAAAAAAAAAAATTAAAAAACCAGTGTGAGCAAGGTTAAGAAGCATTTCTGTAAATGGATATATTTCTGGCTTGGAGCCATGTGGGGAGAGAAAGAAATTACTATAGATAGATTCCCAGAAGGTGTAACAGAAGTTTCAGCAGGCTGTTGGAGGCTGAAGTATGTCAAGAATGAGGTTAGCAAATAGTAGTTTCAGATAATTTAAGCATAGTCTGCTCACAGGTAGCAGACTCCACAGAATTCTAAACACGGAAGCAATTGTTGGTATTCTTCTACTACTTATGACAGTAAGTATAAACATTTTTGATTCACTAAAAGAGAGAAGGACACTTCAGCACACATTTAAGGGTCCTGGCATCTTGACAGTAGCAGGCTTTAAATTCCACAGATGTAGAAGTATCTTTACCCTGTCACTAAAACTCTCATCTCTGAAGGAACATTACCAGAATAACTGATCTTGATCAAATAATACATGGCATATTCTGGGTTTTTTTAAATCCATAAGTAAGTATACTTTTCAAAAAAAATACTATTGTATTTTTTGTCACAGGCACACAACAACATCATGTTCTCATCATATTCAGACAATACATACATCTACCCCTTTGTTTCCATGTAAAGAAATATTGGGAAATATAGGCTTTTGGCCAATCTGCCTATGGAAACAGCTGCTGCTCTAGGACAGTTTTTTTGCATTATCTGTAACTCCGTCTGTAACTGAGCTGGAACCTACTCAGCAAAACGAATACAACTGTATGTAACAATGATGTGTTTCTGAGGTAGTAATACCTGAACAGCTCTTAAAGCACTAATTTTTTGAACATTTCACACATGTATTACAAATAAAAAGCAAAGTTGGGTACAAACAAAGGAAAAATATACACCATCTAGGATTAGTATAGGAAAAGATCACTGTGGAGCTTACAGCAGGAAAAACCTGCCATGCTCCCAAAACCTCAGATTATTTCTCCTTAATAACAGTTAACAGTCTCAGCAATGTATAATTTAGGGATGAATAAAATAAGTTTTACACTGGAAAACACATTTCTCAAAGCAGCAGTTTTAGTTAATTGAATCATTATCTTTCTTCCTTCTTCTTGAGCTAAGGGATCCAGTGGCTGACTATAAAATAAGTCTGTAAACAAATGCCTTCAATTAGTGGTTATTTTGAGGACATTTTATGTTCTGCAGAAAAGCAAATTAATCTTTTCCCTTTTGAGATAATTGCATATTCAGGGTTTTGGGAATTATGGAAAATTATCACTATTAGGAGGTGTCAGCTCTTTGTGAGGTATAAAATTACACAAGGTACAAGGAGAAATCACTAAGAAACCCTAAGTGGACTCCTTCATAATTTATTCTTACAAACATTCACACAGCACTTATAAATGTTGAATATAGTGTTAAAGAGGCAGTAACAGGCTACCATAAAGGTTTTCGAAAGACTGCAAAAGTACTCATTTTAATAATAAAATACTATTCTTAAAACTAATTTTAGCCATCTGATCTGATTGCCACACATCTTGGGGAGAATATTCTTCTCACGATCTACAACCTGTCAGTTGTCTGCTATTTCATTGGTGTAAGCTCCTCAGTCTCAGCGATTTGGGCTGCTAGCAATCATTTCCATAATGTTTATAAGAGTTAGAAATGTTTATGTGTGCAAAGCTCTGCATCACAAATCTGGATTTTGTTCTTGTTTCTGTAAGTCACCCAGATGGGTAACCTGCAAAGTTACCACTCTGTTCCTTAATTTCTTCTCCTGTAAAATGAGGATACTGATATTCACTAGCTTTTAAAAATCATTTAAAAATATACATGGTTAATGATTAAGCAGTGTGAATTATCCCTGGTGAGTAAAACACAGCTGCTAATCCACTGACTGATTCACTCTCATATTAGCATCTTTATTTAAACATTCGCAAAACACTCATTTTGTTAAACAGCAACTGCAAAGAAGCTTTTAACCAGCACAAGTGTAATTAGAGTAGTAGAGAAGCAATGAGATTGTGTTCAGCTTTGAGCTCAAGGGACTATCTGGTATTTTAAGTTCAGGTAACTGAAGTAGCAAAAAGAGTTTCCAATTCAAGTCTGCCCTCTCCTGGCTTTAACAAAACACTGTTAATACATTTTGGATCAATGGTGTCTTTCTGTAATGAAGTGGAAGAATTAAATTAATAGAGGTTGATAAAATTTACTAATTTGGACCTTTAGTCAGCATTTAAAAAAATATTTTAATAGTAGTTAAATGATTTTTAATTTTGCTTTTCACAAGTCCCATCTATACTCCCTGGCAGATTCCTGTCCTTCAGGTTTTCAAAAGCCCACCCACCAGAATATCATTCATATTAGAGTTACTGGAACTAATATACAACACGGAAAGTAACATTCTGCAGGTGGCTTTAAAGAAATTTAATAGAAAAATTGCAGAAGAATATTTTGCTATGATACAATTATGACTTTAATATATAGTGCTGTTTTGTACTAGTCAAATGCTAATTCCCTAAGAGACCAGGACCAGGCTAGTCTAATACTCTGTGACTGGAAGCAGCCTGTCCCTTTAAAATATGAAAGGAAAGAAGAAGAATATTTATTACTGTGCTAATTTTAGAAAGAATTTTCCATCACAAATACTACACACAAATAACTCATCTCTCAATTCAGGAGGACTCATTTTCCTTTCTATATTTAAAAGAGAAAGGTAATCGGGGTGTGGGGAACTATCTAAGTTATACTTGCTCATACAGATTCATCTAGCATGATTTCAACCCCAAGGTGACATTTGTGTCTGAAATACAAAATCTGTATCATTATGTGCTGAATGATGCTATCGAGCTGAAAAGCCTCTGGTTCATTTATCTTGTAATCTTCATGCTTCATTACATTTAACAGCATCTAATCTCTCATGACTGCTACCTAAACTTAAAATAAAGGAGTAAAATATTGTTTCTTCAGATATGTGCCTAATATATGCTTTAAAAAAAAAAAGGGAAAAAAACTATTAAAGAAATGACATTTCATTTTGGCCGTTCATGTGCTTGGAAATCAGGGTCAGACTCAGCCTGTGCCAAGTGTGCCTAACAGACTTTATAAAGAAGAACATAAGGAACTTCCACAAATTCTTTGAATGTCTTCTGCATCTGCTAAAACTCTTGCTTAAAAAGCTTTCATGCATAATGAAACTTTTAGGAGTGGGTGTAAGATTTTTCAGGAAGCAGTGAAAGGCACACAATTAATTTGTCCTTACTGGTTTGGGGGTTTTGTTTGTTTGTAGACTTTTATTTTATTTGCTTTAGATAGGAAACTATGCAAAAAGCTACTGAAATCTCATTAATCATTCCAGTACTTACTCCTACAAATCACCCTCTTAAATCAGACTCCAAAGAAACCAGTATCTAAAATGACTGTTGTTCTGCACCTATAGGAGATTAATGTTTAGATTTTTAATAATCCTAACTGAAAAGCAGCAGCATTGATTGAAATGCTTATAGGTATTTCCCTGAAAGGTCATTTGTTTTCTATGCCTTAGTGGAAAGAGTCTTAGATGAACTTACAGGCACGTGAATTAGGCTGTCAATATATGGAGAAGAGAAGATACACTTGTGTGTCTACTTGACAATGTACTGAAATTAATAAAATCTAAAAACATTTGTCTGGGCTAAATATGGGTTATGATTATGCTAAAATAGACAAAGTATGGACAGAAATTTTGTATGAAAGGGAAGCATTTTAAGAGACTAGATTTTATTAGTAAAAACTTCATTAACCATGAGTTGCGCTTCATTTAATCTGCTAGCACCAGACTAGACTTACAAAGGAAGAAGAGAGCTTTCCTTGATCACCTTCTGGTATCTTGGAAAGGCCTTAATTACTCTTCATTATAATACTGAATGACTGATTCTAATCTTCCATGAGCTGAAGTTCCCAAAGAACTTTCAGTGAAATCTGAACTACTGAAATGCAAAACTAAGGACAGACATAAACGCTGATACTTTTATCCATATTGGTTGGGTTTCCGAGCTCTGAATGGCAGCTCTTGCTGGAGCCTCACCTTTAGTTGGCAGCTCAGACAGTGCACTCTGATGGGGCTTGACCAGAGGAGGTGTGAACTGCTCCTCACCTTGTGGGTCGTGGTTAGGCCATGCTGACTTCGGAATATGACTAAAGCTCTGTTCTTTAAGTTTCTGAAGTGAATTCACACAAAGTGAACAATGAAGATAAATTAATACCTACATTCAGTTTACCCAACTAATTCATTCAACATTTAGATATGAGTTATTCCATTTGTACATATACCTGACACATTTACTTCGTTGACTGGCAAATTTTATTCAAGATCTGAAAATACAGATATTTTTACATTTCCTATTAAGCTCTAAACTCTATAATTTTTATTACAAGTTGTTAAAAACTATTATAATGACAATACAAAAACCTAGACTATGCTGTGCTTTAAATTCTATTTAAATTAAAGACATCCTAAATTCAATTTTAATTTATACTTTAAAAGAAAGTCTTAATTTTAACAAACACCCTTCTTGTTTTGGAAGTAACAACAAAAAAGGGTACTTACAGATATATACAGTAACTGAAACTATACATAATTTAACAGTGACTTGACACAAAAGCCAGAACAATCATTTTTTTGGCAGAAAATGCACACAGAAGTTTCACATCCACCTGACATATTACAACTTTGAGGTTCTTCTTTTTGCTTTAGTACCTGTTTTCTCTTTGCTTATAACCAACGCTGTTAGTAACTTCTTGCTGTTGCATTTATCTTGTAAAATCTGAAAAAGTGCATCCAAAAGCATTACTGTAAATCAGTGAAGCAAATGCTGCACATCATTCAATTGCGTTTTCAAATACTTCATTGCCAGAAAAAGTTGTTTCAGCAGCATATTTATTTTTTCTAGTTGGATGTTAAGAAAGACTATTACAAGAGTTATAGAAGAGAGAAAGAAGACTACGACTTACAATTACTATTTTTCAAATCTCAAATTCTATGTTCTGTATCAGAGAGAAATATTTCATTTGCACGCTGCCAACTGATTGCAAAGACTTACATTCTCAGTTTCGTGGTTGTTTCACCATAATGCAATTCACTAAGGTCAGAATTAGTACAAAGGCAAGTATACAAAGCAAAGACTGTTTTGAAAATCAGAATATATTCACTGTTTCCTCATTTTGTTTCAATCATAGTGAACATTTGACTAAAATAAGCATTTTTTAAGTCCTTTGAAATCTTTATGGATGTGTGCTGTTAAAACAACATATTCTTAAGCAACAAAAATCTACCTGAGTTCTGTTGACAAAGAAAAGGTTTACATTCAAATATCTTTAGAGGAAAATCCTCATGGAGTTACTGAAATGTTCACTGTTCAGATGCTAAAAAAAGAGCTTAATGTAAAACCAGAGAATGAGTGAATATATATATGTTAGTTTTGGCCTCAGAAAATCCTTTCATTCATCATTTTTGCGTATCAAGTATGTAAGGAATCAGATTATTGTTTTCATCCTTGGCCAAGTAGTGCAATCATAAAAACATGCATTTAAGAACTGTTTTGTTTTTAGATAAACTACCTGTGGCAAAAGGTAGCAATATCTTTAAGTGTAACACTTCATTTTCATTATTAAATGAAGATGAGGAGAATGGGAAAGTCATGCATCAAACAACAGTAAAGTTTTGCAGCAGGTAATACTCAATTTTTAAGTACATCAACAGTTCTTCTCAGAGGTCTCTAAAAGCACTGGATGAGGTTCTTTGAATGCTGTCTCACCTCAGATTGCTGTTCCTTCTCTCGCCTCGGAAGCTGTAATGAAAAGTAATGATTGTAACTCAACTCCACTCAGTTTTGGTTTATTATTAAATAAATAAATTGTACAATTATTGTATTGAATATACAAACTTACTACACTTTGCTTTTTGTTCCTACCTCTCTGATAATTTTACTAATTTTCTAGATAAGCATCTGTTGTGGTTTCACCCTAGTCAGCAGCCACACAGCTGCTCACTCACTCCCCCACCAGTGGGACTGGGAAGATAAAAGCTGGAAAACTCGTGGGTTGAGATAAAGACAGTTTAATGAGAAGGCAAACGCTGTGGACACAAGCAAAGCAAAACAAGGAATAAATTCACTGCTTCCCATGGGCAGGCAGGTGTTCATTCATCTCCAGGAGAGCAGGGCCATATCACGTGTAACTGTGACTTGGGAAGACAAATGCCATGACTCCAAATGTGCCCCCCTTTCCTTCTTCTTCTTTCTACTTTACATATGAGCATGATTCCATGATATCCCTTCAGTCACTTCAGGTCACCTATCCCAGCTGTCTCCTCCCAACCTCTCATGCAGCCCCAGCTTTCTTGCCAGCAGGGCAGTACAAAAAAGCAGAAAAGGCCTTGGCTCTGTGTAAGCAGCAATAACAAAAACATCTCTATTATCAGCCCTGTGTTCAGCACAAATCCAAAACACAGCCCCATACTAGCCACTAGAGAAGATTAACTCTACCCCTGCCAAAACCAGCACACCATCTGACAGTATCACTTTTCTTGGAAATATTCCATATCAGACAGTGACTAGAGTACATCCAACAAGTATGATACAGAAATTCATGTGAAAAAGATTCAAATTTGGACAGAAAAATTTTTATGTGCATTACAGCTCTGCATTGTAAGCATGCTGTGAAAATATGTCTTCTTGTCTTTGTGAAATGACAAGGAACGTTTCCCAGACCAGTGATTCTGCAGAGGAGCTGGGATTTATTAGACTAAATAAATGGGAATATTAAAATTAAATAGAAGGAACATGATTACTAGGGCACAATAAAAATAGAGAGCTTGATTATAATAATGAAGTGAAACAGAATGCCTAGTCATAATACGCTACCATTTTTACTGACATCGTAAAGATTCAGCCTGCAATGGAAATCCATTAAAGACCTCTTCTTTATGTTCTTGTGTTATTTATACTGATTTATGGTGTAATTCTCAAGTTTGAAATATCTACCACAGACTCTTTGAAATCTAAGTTCCTCCTAAACAGTCAAACTCAAACTTTCATCCAAAGAAGATGAACTTAATGCAGTTTCTTGTCAGTAAATTGAAGAGAAAAATCTCAGGAGAGTGGTAAGCACATAATGGAAGTCTGCAGGGATTTCCTATGTCGTGTTTACAGTGATTTTTCATAGATTTCAATGTGTCACTGCATTTTGTCTCCTTCATCAGCCTTCTGAGTTGCACATACTGTCGCATGGCTTTACTTTCTGGTGTATTGAGATAAAGCTTTAGAGGTCTGAAATTCTTTAACCTGAAAGGTACCCTTTGCACTCAAAACCAAAAAGTCATGTTACAGCCATCTGATCAAATGACATTATTTCCCTGATCTTGAGACTGACACTCAGAGTTATTCAGTCATGTCTCTAAGAATCTCAGTTCTCTCATTTACCCATAAAAATGGAAACGTGGCCATTTTACAATGTGTGTTAGTGGTATTTTTTGCTGTGAAAACACAGCACTTGTGGAATTACTGCTAATCGAGTTAGTAAAACAGCAGGCATTCGCATTCTTGCTGTACCTGTTCAAACCCCTGCAATTTTATTTCTGATTTTATTGTTATTGCTGATCACGTGAAACTACGAGGCAAAAAGAAATTCAGAGAAATTCTTTGTAACAAAAATCTTTCAACACATATGGTATTACTAATTTTCTTTTTCATTCCAGCAACTGGGGCTTTTGTTCTTATTTAATGGATATACCATTCCAAGTGGTTTTGTCCTCATTATCAGCCATAAGAAAAAGATCAAATAAAATCAAAATCCTTCATGGAAGTGTTACCACAATACATTACAAACATGGAGTAATATCCACAGCACACCCACATCATCTTACTTCTGTCTTCTCCAGGCAAAGCCTCCTCCATCAATTTCTTTTGGTATCCATTTCTTTGGGTATTACTTCTCCCTTCAAAACAGCTAATTTTTTAATGCCCCATTATAGGAATCTTTGTTTTAAGGGTTAATTTTCATTATCTCAGTTATTAGAGTAGCACTGTCTCACAAACTTGTAGGAAGGATAACTGCTGCTCTCTTTCTGGCTTTGGCTGGCTGAGTCAGTAGTTCACCAAAGGACTGCTGAGCTCTTCGACCCTCTGGCATCCTAGGTGCCACAGGAGCCAAAAAACAGGCATGGAAAACTTCTGGACTCAGTACAACTATTTACTCTTTGCATGCTCTGGAGTTTTTTGTTTTGTTGTGGGGATTTTGTGGTTTTGTTTGGTTGGTTGGTTGGATTTTTAATACAAATATGATCCTTTGGACAGTGTGAGACTATGGATGTGTGTTATGATGGAAAAAGTGCTGTTCTCCAGTCACTTTTCTTAGTTTACAGATATTCTTTCACAGCCTCAGTACGTAAAACTATGTAAATCTAAACCAGTAGCTATACAGAATCAGCATTGGTTTATTTGCATACCAAAAACACACCCTTGTGCTATTATAGGCCACAGCACTGATTTTGTTTGAAGGAAAGCTGACAAAGAAATATTAACTTTCTTGCTATGCATTTCCTGGCTTCTATGGTTAAATCAAGGAAATAACCTATAAGCTTTTAGTCAAACATTCAAATTGGCAGACATGAGAAATGGTAGCTATTAAGTTTCTGTGCTCTGAAAATTATTCCTTGACAATGCACAAAGGGAAGAAGAGAAAGAGCTGGTACATGTGGCACACTTTGTTGAACACCCTTTCTCAAGAACATCCACAATAAAATTATACTGTGTCACATGTGACACAGTTAAATCAATTCTCAAAGGAGACACAGCTTTTTAACCCTTTGGATCAGTTGATTAGTACATTTGACCTTCTGAATCCCATTTACACTAAAATTACAGGAAGTTTAAGGAAAAATACCTTTCCAGTTTAATTCTACTACAGTGGGTGACTATTTTATTGTACTATTTTATAAGAGATTATTAACAAGCTGTGGGCTGTAATGAACAGTTGGTTTTGTATGTTTAGAAAGAACAAGCTGTAACCGTAACCACAGTGTGGAAACAGATCGTACTTGGTCTCACCTACCCAGGAAAACCACTTTAATACAAACTGCTGGAAAATAGGTTTCTCCAGCAACCACTTCTCTTCCTTTGCAGAAAAGCAGGTTCAATAGTTTGAGTTCTCTTTTGTGTATGACATTTGAGTAAGCCATTACTGACAAATGAATGTGCCTCTTGCCCTACACGTGTTTGGCAGAGACCACTCATTTATTTGTTAAAAAAGGAAGTGCCTCAGTGCTTATACGGGCTGTGAGGTTGTAAGGACAAGGCCAACGTGCTGTACTGGCAGTTTTCAGACATTAGGTCTCTCCTTGTATTTCTAGTCAAGCTTTCATTCCCTGAATTCTGTGTTTCCATGGACAGAACACATCGTGCAGCCTGGTACTGAAGATCACAAAACACCCAGAGCTGGAAGGAACCAATAAGGATCATCGAAATCCAACTCCTGGCCCTATATGGGACACCAAGAGTCACTATGGGACACCATGTGCCTGAGAGCATCGTCCAAACACTTAAACTCTGTCAGGCTTGGTGCAGTGACCATTTCCCTGGGGTTGGGTTCCAACACCCAACCACCCTCTGGGCCAAGAATCTTTCCCTAATATCCAACTTAAACCTCCGCTTGACACAGCTTTATGGAGAGCTTCACGGAGAGGCATTTCCATTTTCACCCAGAAATACTTCTCTCGTCACTTCACCTGTACCCTCCACTTACCAAAGGAACTTCCCACCCTCCAAAGGCGGCGCGCGCGTGCACCCCGAGAGCTCCGGGGAAGGAACACAAACGTGACTCCTGCGGGAGCAAAGGCGGACGAAGAAGACTCACAGCGTTTGCAGACCCCAGTCACAGCCGCCCGACCCCGATCCCCCTGCCTGCGGCAATGACAGGCGGGCGCGGCCGGCCAGGGGGCGCAGACACCCCCCCGCTGCCATCTCGTCCTTCCCCGGGCAGCGCAGTCCCCCGTCCCCGCCCCGCAGCCCCGCCATGGGTCCCGCCCAGCGCACGGCGCCGTTACGAGATCGGCTGAGCTCCTCCTCTTCCTCCCCCTCTCTCTGCCCCGCCGCCGGAATGCCGAAGCTCAGCAAGGAGGCCAAGCAGCGGTTACAGCAGCTCTTCAAGGGCGGCCAGTTCGCCATCCGCTGGGGCTTCATCCCCGTGGTGCTCTACCTCGGTCAGTGACGGGCGGCGGGGGCCGCGCGGGGGGCGCTCGGCGGCCGTGGACACGGCCATGGCCGGAGTGGGGGCCGGGGCGAGGGCGGCCGGGTGGCTCCGCTCGCCGCTCTCCGCCCCCCGGCCCGTCCGGGCGCTGCCGCCCGCCGGGGAGCGGCGGGGGCGAGGAAGGGCCCGGCAGGGCAGGACCGCCCGGGCCCCGCGGCCATGGCCGCGCATGTGCGGAGGGGCAGGGCCGGGGGTGCCCTTGGCAGGGCTGCGAGGCGGTGAGGCTTCGTGCTGGGTGGTGGTTTTGTTGTGGGTTTCTTTTTTCCTTACAAAGAAGAAGAGTGTGGCCAGCTGGTCGAGGGAGGTGATCTTCCTCCTCTACTCGGCCCCAGTGAGGCCACAGCCGGAGTTCTGGGCTCTGCAGTACAGGAAAGACAAGGACCTACTGGAGAGGGTCCAGCAGAAGGCCGCGAAAATGATGATGAGTCTGAAATATCTCTCTTACGAGGAGAGACTGCAGAAGCTGGGCCTGTTTAGTCTAGACAAGAGCAGATTGAGAGGGGATCTGATTAATCCACATAAATGTCTCAAAGGCAGGTGCCAAGAGGACGGTGCCAAAGTCTTTTCAGTGCCCGGTGACAAGACAAGGAGCAATGGCCATAAACTAAAATGCAAGAAACTTCACCTCATCATGAGGGAAGACCTTTTTTAGGTTGAGGGTGGCAGAGCACTGGAAAGGCTGCACAGGGAGGTCATGGAGTTTCCCTCTCTGGAGACATTCAAACCCCACCTGAACACGTTGCTGCGTAATGTGCGCTAGGTGACCCTACCTTGGCAAGGAGGTTGGACTAGGTGATCTCCAGAGATCTCTTCCAACCCTAACAGGTCTGTGATTCTGTAATAAAAAGTTTTCTGCTCCTTTTCCTCCCTGGAGGCTGTTCCTGTGCTGTGTGTGCCGAGTGATGGGAGGGCCCCTCAGGGGAGCAGGCAGAGCACGCACTGGAGCAGCCAAACAGCAAACGGAGCTGTGATTTAACCTGTGTCAGTGACCAGCTGCTTCCGTAGTCCAGGCTGTGCTCCGTGCACAGGGAGGAACAATCTGACAAGTGATGGGAGTGCATGGCACTGAGGGGATTGTCAGCCTCTGGCTGAGGTTGAATTTCCAGCATAATGTACAGATTATGGTCTCTCTGCCACCCAGAATGTGACTTCTGTTTCCAAATTGCAGTGGAACGTGCACGGGATGCCTTGACGTCATGCCTGGTGCCCAGGATGTATTTCACTTGCTCCTGTCATGGGGCTGGGCAGGTGTCACTACCACGTGGTAGTTCTCCTGCTGAGTTAGGGCTGTGTGCCATCAGCTGTCCTTGCTAAAGAGCCTGACCCACTTAAGATAGGCAATGTGCCATAGGCCTGACACTTTTGTTCATTTCTTTTATGACAGGGGGCCCCAGAAAGGCTGATCCCTGCAATTCATCTGGCTTACTTTCTACCCAAACTCAGCTGGGCCTTTTGGGAAAAGTACCTAAACCAGGCAGGCATCTCTGCATGGAAAACAGACATGAAGGAGGGTCGTTAGCTTCATGTGTTCACAGTCAAGTCTGATAGCTTGTTTTGATAGATTGAGGGGAATGCAGTGTCCAGTTTGAAGGGCTTTAATTGTTCATAGATAGCAATCGGGAAAGTTGGTCTCTTCTACTGTTGCAGAAGTGCTTTAACAAAAACTACAAGCAAAAGAAGTCACTTCAAAAACTATTAAAAAATCCTAATTGGCATTATTAGGTTTAAACTTTAATTGCATTTCCATTTTTAGTTTATCACTTATTTAAATTGATAAGTTTTGGGTGGGAATTTCAGCAGCGTTTTGTGACCTAATTTTGCTGTTGCTGAAGTTTTGTTTTGATTTTACTTTCAAGACAATACCTATGGATATGGGAAAGATGCTCTTTGTTCTGAGTGACACCAGAGGACATTAAATACTTAATGCTTATTATATGAACTTCAGGTTATATAAAGCCATCTTAGTGTATTTACAGTTGCACTAATGTCAGCCTGCCTAGTACAAACTTGCTATGTAGCTATGAGAAACTCAAGTTGTAGTAGTTCAGGCTCATACCTCCAGAAAAAAAGTGTGCTGTTCCATGTCTGCATTGCCTTATTATAAATTTGTCTGCAGTATTGAAAGGACATTAAGTATAAGCAGATGGGAAGGGGATGTGTAGGTGCCACCTTTGCTTGCCATAAACATTTGGAGGTGTCATGCATTCAAAGACTGTAGGATTGAAAGAACCTCTTCTGTACTGGGATTACCTTTGAATCTGGTAGGGAAGGTGTGATGCAGAGGAAGGGCAAGAGGCTACACAGTAGTTGTTGTCACTGATTCAGGGAAAATTTTTTTATTGATCCCTGTGTATAAGAAATAGATGCTAAACTAAACATAGGCAAGGAAATGTTCAGCAAATTTGAGCCTTTAGTTTCCTCTGAAAGGCTTTCTAGCTCAGGTTGGGATGCTCAGGGGATGTACAAGGGAGCCTGGTATGTGAATGTGCAATTATAGGTCATTTGGGGTTTTTTTGTTGTATTTTTTTAAACTTGCCTTGAAGTGGCTGCCCTGGTTTTAAGTTGATAAATTAGATTAGTGTAGTTTTGTTAAACCTGGTTTGCTTATTTAAAAATAATAGGAGTGGGGGGAAAGGAGCCAGAAGCACACACACACACACACACACACACACACACACACACACAGTGTGACTCGTAATACAACTTTATGAACTTTAAAGCTGTGTTGCTTGACAGTATGGCAACCAAACAGCTTCTATCAGGGTGTTTGATAGTCTCAAATAATGCAAGGTTCTTTTCCTATGCCCATGAAGTTAATGTAAGTTTTTCCATTAACTTTTGTGGCCTGTTTCAGGCAAGATGACATAAATTATTTATTTTCTGTAAAGAAGGGAAATAATATACTTTTCATAAATTATCCACTTCTAGATAGCCCATGTAGGAGGGTGTGGGTTGAACAGTGCCTGAATTGTGTGATTCTCATTCAAGATTTTTAATTTACAGTCCAAGGAACAAAGATACTTCATATATTAAACCTTCAGTTGCTTCTCCAGCATTTGTTTACTTTAGTCAGTTGGTATTGGAGTCATTAGTATGAACTTTGTAATTAACTTTCATTTTGCTAGGTGTTAGTAGATTGACAAACATCTTGTTTGTTTGCAAGCTTTAGTACTATGTAGCTTTTCAAAAAGTACCAGTCAAAATAGAAGATTGGAAGTTTCATTGGTTTAACATTTAGAATTCTGTCATCCTAAATTGAGTGAATTTTTAATGAAAAACTGCTTTTAAGTTCTACATCAGATGTCATTGCAGGATGTTGCCTGTTAGGCCTCAAGGTGCTCATTTGTACCAGGTACAGGCGTCTCTGTCAGTAGAGCCTTGCTAGGCTGCTTTCTGAACGTTTAAAATCTGTGTGTTTGTGCGTGTAAAGCTGTGTCTTGCTCTTTGGGGTAGATAACTTCCTTGATCTCACAGTTAGTTGGCTCTGAATTTTAAGTCAGGTGAAGATGCAGGTAAGACTTTAAAAAAAAAGTGCACTTGTATTTATTTTCTCTGCTTCCTAACCCTGATAAGAATGTACAGTTTTTATTCGTGTTAGTGCACAGCTTCATGATAATCACAGTTCTCTGTTCAGTAGTTTTCTTTCCTATTGCAATTTAATGGGCTGGAGTAATTATATAGTGATTTAAGTAGGAGTTTGCACGTGCATATTTTTATATACATGTATGTAATGTATGTTTCACTTCAGGTTTTAAGAGAGGTGCAGATCCTGGAATGCCTGAGCCCACTATCTGGAGGTATGTATTGGTTCCGCATGTATTTACAAACCCGGTGCAGATAGTTACTGGTTTGGGTGTTCTCTCTGCACAGCAACAGTTGTGAATATTGTGTTCATCCTTTGGTTTAAGTGTTGTGGTTCTTGTTTCTTTAGAAATCCAAATGACAAGTCAACAAAGCTCTACTCCTTGGGAGAGCTTTTCTCTTAATCTTGCATGGCTATTTATATATGGAACTTCTTGTACCTTTTGAGTGGCAGCTGCCCTTCTGACAACCTTTTGTAGAGCTAGTTTGTCCAAGTTTCTGCACTGAGGAGTAACTTACCAGCTTTCTAGCACAAATTTAAAACACAACCTAAATCCTTTGGCCTTTGCAAATGAGGTACTAGCACTGCATAAAAGCTGCAGGAAATAAAGGGCTATACCCTTCAATATTAGTCACTGTCATGAAGCAAAGTGCATTTGCTCATGTTGTTTTTTTCTTGTGGGACTTTTTTATTAGTGCTACATATCCTGGCATTAGTAATGCTTATGTTCTAGTGGTATTTGAGGGGCTTCTATGAGTCCAACTAGATAAAGTTAAGAAGAAAGGGTGACTCTTCAATTTTTCTCGAAATACTTGTGATTACTGTGCAGGACCAGGTATTCCTAAAAAAATTTGGAATGTATTCTTTGCAAAACCATACATTAACTCTTCTATCTTCACATAGTTACAGTGAATGGAAATCCCATTTTTAGGATTCAGTGATTCAGTAGAAACAGTAGACAATGTGGGGAAAAAAGTGTCAAGTTCATGTTACAATTTCAATTAAATCTTCAGTTGACTTAAGAACTAAATTGC